ACTTGTGACCATCGTAGGACTTGTGACCATCGTAGGACTTGTGACCATCGTAGGACTTGTGACCATCGTAGGACTTGTGAGCATCGTAGGACATGTGGCCATCGTTGGACTTGTGACCATCGCAGGACTTGTGAGCATCGTAGGACATGTGACCATCGCAGGACTTTTGACCATTATAGGACTTGTGACCATCGTAGGACTCGTGACCATCGTAGGACTTGTGACCATCGTCACATCCGCGAGATGATACGTTAACGCAGCGAAGAAGGTGCGCTGCTCTGACGGATTTTCAAGCGAAATCCACCAATCACAGGCGAGATATATGCCGCTACGTGGACTTAGACCGCTACGCGTACTTCAGCGAGATTCGAAAGTACGGTCCTAGATGTGAACGATGCCGGTTTTATATTTTTTCGTTGGGAGACTTTGTAAGTTTTCGTTCTATAAATTCAATTCTTCATTGTATTCCCGAATTCCAGACTCTAAAGCAATAATACTGCCTCCGCCGTCGTGGTGGGTTCGTAATTTTTTCCTTGGAATTTGTCTTGTTGTTTAGCTTCAATTTATTATATTGATGATAGCGTAAAATTAACTCTACCTGCTTCTACCTGGTCATTGTAACGCTACCACAATCGTCGTTTGCTAGGAGGCGCTCTCTACTGGCATGATTGACCCAGCGTTATAAAGGAGCTGTAAATGTTTAATATTTTCTTATTTATTAGCTCTAAGGGTTTAACTTTTTTTGTTAGAAATTAACTCTAAATGTTTATTATTATTTTGTTTATTAACTGTGAGGTTTTAAATTTTTTTCGTAGGCGGTACAAATAAAACTTTGTATGTTACCCGACATCGCATGCATTCAACCTTCCAGCTATGCGAGAGCTTCAGGCGGCCACCGGCATGCACGTATCCCTGTGCCGCTCAGGTGGCATGCACACGTTCTGGAATGTCAGGCTCAGTTCAAACTATGCATTAATTAAGATTTTTCTACCCGATTGGTCCTAAACAAATACACGGGAGCCTGGCTAACTGTGGTGCGTGAAAAACTTTCACCGTCCATGAAATTCTCAGGCCACATCAGGCCTACACTTCAGCGCCGAGATCAATATGTTATGTCTCTTTATGTCATCACCGTAACGTGAACTGCAGGT